TGTTATGCTTTTGTGCGAGCCTGCCTGTCTTGAGTTGCCTTCCCGTTGTTATGAACCTCACCTGTCATGGGCATGCGCATGGGCATGGTTAGCTTAGACATCCTGTTCAATATTAACTAAATAGAACTGCGCAGGACACATTGCTCTCCCTCTTCCTCCCATTTCTCTCCCCTCCCACTCCCTAGGCATCTATCTCACAACTCCTTCTTGGGCCCGCTGCCTTTCAATTTGGCCACCTGCCAATCGCTGTACGAACTGTAAGCGCTTGATTGATTCGCAAGGTTGTCACCCACTCTGTAGCCTCAAGCGGTAACCAGCCCTCTAGTAACTCCATCGGCCCGTTGCTCCCCAATGTGTTCACCTGCCAGTCTGCTATCCAAATTTTGAGACATGTCAAGAATTGTAAGCTCTTGATTGGTTCAAAAGTTCGTAACCCACCCACTATGCAGCCTAATCTCCAAGTAACAAATTCTTCCTGACACACAACTCATCCATTTGCTCTCATCAACTGCGAGTGGGAGTGTCCTTGATAGCTGGTCCTTGATAACAAGCTCTGCTTGGACATGGAACTATCGTTGACATGTTGACGATAGTTACATCTCTGTTGTGTCAGAATCCCAGCCAATAACCACTGGGACCAAAGAGCTTGTTTGTGCAGCGGGTGAGTGCGCCCATAACCCCCCATGCCGACGTGCCTGTAACCCTTCCATAGGATCAATCGGGGATCTCCTGTGGACCTCTAACATGTTGGACATGTAACTATCATCAACATGTAACATCTCTGCCTGAGATGTAACATCTCTGCTTGAGGTGTAACGAGCTCTGCTTGGACATGTAACTATCGTCAACATGTAACTATCGTCAACATGTAACTATCGTCAAGATGTGACTATCGTCAACATGTAACTATCGTCAACATGTGACTATCGGCAACATGTGACTATCGTCAACATGTAACTATCGTCAACAAGTAACTATCGTCAACATGTAACTATCATCAACATGTAACTATCGTCAACATGTAACTTTCGTCAACATGTAACTTTCGGGTTGTTTTTTTCCGTCAATAGAGATGCCTCTCCTCCAATATTCACCCGCGCACATGGCCAGTGACGTCATCAACAATTATTTGAGTGGCATTGTGGCTCCCATCATAAGCTTGCTGACATCACTGCAGACACTGTGAGTGCAAGTAGTAACATGCTGGATGGATGTGTGCATGCATGTGTGTGTATGTGTGTGTGTGTGTGTGTGTGTGTGTGTGTGTGTGTGTGTGTGTGTGTGTGTGTGTGTGTGTGTGTGTGTGTGTGTGTGTGTGTGTGTGTGTGTGTGTGTGTGTGTGTGTGTGTGTGTGTGTGTGTGTGTGTGTGTGTATGTGTGTGTGTGTGTGTGTGTGTGTGTGTGTGTGTGTGTGTGTGTGTGTGTGTGTGTGTGTGTGTGTGTGTGTGCGTGCATGCTTCATCCTGTGCTGCTGTCTTATAACTACCTCTGTGGCATCGTGCCGATCTTCGGACATCTTCCAGTGAGCAGCAGCGCTTAGGTTTAGGCTAAACCTAAGCGCTGCTGCTCACTGGAAGATGTCCGGAGATCTTATAACTACCTCTGTGGCATCGTGCCTCATATCATCAGCTCGCTCACAACACTGCAGGCACTGCTGATGCTGACATCAGCATAGCACTGCATGCTACATGCTCACAGTACTGCAGACACTGTAAGAGCACTGTGCTGTGTGCGCTGCTTTTGAGACGTCTCAAAAGTCATCAGCTCGCTCACAGCAGTGGCAAGCACTGTGAGAGCATTGTGCTACTGCGCTGCTGATGACACGACATCATCTTATGATGCTGACACATCATCACGTCATGCTATGATGCTGACACATCATCACGTCATGCTATGATGCTGACACATCATCACGTCATGCTATGATGCTGACACATCATCACGTCATGCTATGATGCTGACACCTTATCATCGGACCCACTCCACCCCATCCTGCCCCACCCCACCCCACCCCCTCCCACCACAGTCATCTCTTCTCCAACTATTTCACCAGACCACTTCCCCCCATGAGCTCAACCCCCCCCATACTCCGTTACATCAGCCAGAGAAAGAAGCAGTACCTTTGGTGCCTCCCTCCTTACCCCACACCCTCATCAATTCCACCACACCCCACCCACCCCACACCCCACCCGTCACGTCACCCTGCTCCACCCCTTCCCACCGCAGAGAGATCTCCTCCAATCCAACCATTTCACCCGGTCAGTACCCCCCATAAGCTCAGCCCCGCCCCTCTCATCCCTGATGCTGCAGGTTGTTTTTGAGAATTCTAAAAAACAATCCACACTGCCCACACTTGCTTAACCCAAACTCCATATCCCACCTCACCTCACCTCACCCCACCTCACCCCACCTCATCCCACCCCACCCCATCCCACTCCCTCCTGCCACAGTGATCTCTCCTCCAACTATTTCACCGGGCCAGTCCCTCCCATGAGCTCAGCACCTCTCATCCAACAATACAGCATCCACACCAACTATTTTTTCGGCTCGGGCAACATAATCGACCTCGCCGGAAATTCCATCTGCCCAAACGCCTCCTCCTCCATCCAAACCGCCAACAACTGCCTCCAATACGGCTCTGACACCTGTACCAGCGCCACCAGCACAGGCAGTAACCCTGTTATCATAACCGAGACGCAACGCACCATAGCTGACTGCACAGGGTTCTGTTCCACGAGTTTTGGGCTGGTTACCACTCCGGGGAGTAACGCGCAGTGCACATATGGGACCGGTGTGTGTGTGGTTACCTCCGTTGCAGTTACCACAGGGGCGGTTACCATACGGTGTAACTGCACATGGGCCGGGTCGACCCTTGCTGCTAACGGGACTGCCTGCCTGCCTCCTCGTAAGCCTCACTCTCTCCACCTCTCTCCACCACTCTTCACCTTTCAACGCATCTCTTCTTGAGACGTCTCAAAAAGGGTTGACCCTTGCCGCTTATGGGAATGCCTGCCCGCCTCCTCGTAAGCCTCACTCCTCTCCACCACTCTCCATCTCTGTCCACCACTCTCCACCGCTCTCCATCTCTCTCCATCTCTCAAGCATCTCTCTTGAGACGTCTCAAAAAGGGTCGACCCATGCTGCTAACGGGACTGCTTGCCTGCCACCTCATAAGCCTCACTCCCTCTCTCCAACTCTTTCCACCTCTCTTCATCTCTCTAAACCTCCCTCTTCCTTCGCTTTCTGTTGCCTCCTTCCTCCTCCTTCTATTTTTCAACTCTTCCTCCATTGCCCTTTCAGATGCAGCTCCCCCTCCCTCTCCTCTCCCCCATCTCCTTTTGAGACGTCTCAAAAGCCTTTCAGGTACTGCTCCCCCTCCCTCTCCTCTCCCCCATCTCCTTTTGAGAGGTCTCAAAAGCCTCTCAGGTACAGCTCCCCCTCCCTCTCCTCTCCCCCATCTCCTTTTGAGACGTCTCAAAAGCCTCTCAGGTACAGCTCCCCCTCCCTCTCCTCTCCCCCATCTCCTTTTGAGACGTCTCAAAAGCCTTTCAGATGCAGCCCCCCCTCCTTCTCCTCTCCCCCATCTCCTTCTCCTGCTCTCGCACCTGCCCCACCTCCCCCTCCTCTCCCTTCTTCCTCCCCTCCCCCTCCCCGTCTCTTCTACAGCCCGATATTCACCTCAATCATTCAGTGCTTTCTAAAGCCTCAATCATTCAGTGCTTTCTACAGCCTCAATCATTCAGTGTTTTTTACAGTCTCAATCATTCAGTGCTTTCTAAAGCCTCAATCATAGTGCTTTCTACAGCCTCAATCATTCAGTGCATTCTCCAGCCTCAATCATTCAGTCATTTCTACAGCCTCAATCATTCAGTGCTTTCTACAGCCTCAATCACAGTGCTTTCTCAAGCCTCAACCATTCAGTGCTTTTTACAGCCTCAATCATTCAGTGCTTTCTCAAGCCCCAATCATTCAGTGCTTTCTCAAGCCTCAATCATTCAGTGCTTTCTACAGCCTCAACCATTGAGTGCTTTCTACAGCCTCAACCATTCAGTGCTTTCTACAGCCCCAATCATTCAGTGCTTTCTACAGCCCCAATCATTCAGTGCTTTCTACAGCCCCAATCATTCAGTGCTTTCTACAGCCCCAATCATTCAGTGCTTTCTACAGCCCCAATCATTCAGTGATTTCTACAGCCCCAATCATTCAATGCTTTCTACAGCCCCAATCATTCAGTGCTTTCTAGAGCCCCAATCATTCAGTGCTTTCTAGAGCCCCAAGCATTCAGTGCTTTCTAGAGCCCCAATCATTCAGTGCTTTCTAGAGCCCCAAGCATTCAGTGCTTTCTAGAGCCCCAACCATTCAGTGCTTTCTAGAGCCCCAATCATTCCGTGCTTCTAAAGCCCCAGTCATTCGGTGCTTTCTACAGCCCCAGTCATTCGGTGATTTCTACAGCCCCAGTCATTCGGTGCTTTCTACAGCCCCAGTCATTCGGTGCTTTCTACAGCCCCAGTCATTCAGTGCTTTCTACAGCCTCAGACATTCAGTGCTTTCTACATCCTCAGACATTCAGTGCTTCCTACAGCCTCAGTCATTCAGTGCTTCCTACAGCCTCAGTCATCCAGTGCTTTCTACAGCCTCAGTCATCCAGTGCTTTCTACAGCCTCAGTCATTCAGTGCTTCCTAAAGCCTCAATCATGCAGTGCTTTCTACAGCCTCAATCATTCAGTGCTTTCTACAGCCTCAATCATTCAGTGCTTTCTACAGCCTCAATCATTCAGTGCTTTCTACAGCCTCAATCATTCAGCGCTTTCTAAAGCCTCAGTCATCTCCCTCGGTAGCTAGATGACATTTAAGTTGACTCAAAAGTCAAATCGTTTCCCTTAGTAGCTAGAAGGCACTCCCATTATTTCGGCGCCTTAAAAAGTGTTTCCCTCGACAACAAATCTCGCAATTAGAAGTCTCTTCTATAACCTCCCTCGATCGCACTCGTAAATCCGTTTATGTCCTCCCCTTCTGCGCCTCCCTTCCTCCCCTTCCCCCTTTTACTGGCAGCTCCACCCCCCTCTCCACCACCTCCCCCACCACCTCCCCCCCAACCGTCACCCCAGCCCCCGCCTCCCTCCCCCCCCACCCTCACCCCCATCACCCTCCCCCCCCTCCATCTCCCCCACCTTCCCCCCCCCCCTCCCCCTTTCCCTCCCCCATCCCCCCCTCCTTCTCCGCCTCCCAACCCTCCCCCCTCTCCTCCATCTCCCCCTCCCCCCCATTCCCCCCACCTAGACCTCCCCCTTCCTTGCCTCCCTCCCCTCCCCCTCCCCCCCCCTCCCTCCTCCCCGTCCCCCTCCCTCACCTCCCCCTTCCCCTCCCCCACACCCCCCTCCCCGCGCCCTCCCCTCCCCCTTTCCCTCCCCCACGCCCTCCTCCCTGCCCTCCTCCCTCCCCTCCCCCTTCTCCTCCCCCACGCCCTCCTCCCCCTTCCCCCCCTCCTCCTTCTCTCCCTCCACCTCCCTCTCCTCCTCCCCCTCCATCCCCCCCTCCTTCCCCTCCTCGTCCTCCCCGTCCTCCTTCTCCTCCCCCATTTCCCCCTTCTCCCCCACCAAGTCCCCCTCCTTCTCCCCCTCCTTCTCCCCCACCCCCACCATCACCCCCATCTCCTCCCCCTTCACCTCCTCCACCTTCCCCTCCCCCATCTCCGCCCCCATCCTCCCCACCACTTTCCCCTCCCCCATCTCCGCCCCCATCCTCCCCACCACCTCCCCCTCCCCATCACCACCCCCATCCCCCCCACCGCCTTCCCCTCCCCCATCACCGCCCCCATCCCCCCCACCACCTTCCCCTCCCCCTTCCCCCCCATCCTCCCCACCAAAGCCACCCTCCCCACCTCCTTCCCCTCCTCCACCTTCTCCCCCTCCACCCTCCCCTCCTCCACCTTCTCCCCCTCCACCCTCCCCTCCTCCACCTTCTCTCCCTCCACCCTCCCCTCCTCCCTACCCCCCCCTCCTCACCTCCCCCCCATCCTCCTCCGTCCCCCCTCCGTCCCCTCCTTCCCCTCCCCCATCCCCCCCACCTAATCCGCCTCCTTCCCCTCCTCCATCCCCTCCCCCTTCTCCCCCTCCCCCCCCTCCTCAGCCTCCCCCATCACCTCCCCCTTCTCCCCCTCCTTCACCCCCCCTGCGTCCGCCACCCTCCCCGCCACCACCTCCCATCATGCCATTATTGGAATGCTACAAGACAAGCCTCAACAATCAATGCAATTGTTTTTTCCCATTCTTCAACCGGTGCTATTGCATACAATAACTGTTCCTCATGTGTAAAATATAACATATTGCATATATTTTGAGAAGTTCAACTGGAAAATATACTATGGCAGCAGAAGTTTTGTAAATTTATTTGCACAATTCAGTTCATCTGTTCGCCTAGTATTGAATGCACTTATATTCAAGTTAAATATGGACTAACATGGTGCTCAAAGCATACTGAGCTGCAAAAGATGTGAACAAAATAAAGTTGCACGCCGTGCCAAACCCCGAAATTCCGTGCTGTGAGTTTCTTACCTCTTAAATAAATATAACTTCGGTGTGCTACGGTGGAAGTAGACACACGGTTGCTTCAAACAAGGATGCTTCGCGCACTATAGCTACTCCCTTACATTATAGGCCATTCAAAGATAGATGTGGCGTTAGAAGGCTTATTAAAACCAGGGTCTCACGTAGATCATTTGTTTTGTAGTTGATGACTTGACCTGCGTTATGATTGGTTGGCGAGCTGTAAAGATTGACGAGGGGTGTGGCGAGGGGAGCGAAGGAAACACAAATCGCAGTTTGAGTCCGAACCAACCAGATACGAAAATTGGTTCGGTGCCAAGGCTAGAACGCTAGCAATTTGTGCGAGCTCCCGTCAGGACGCGGTAAAAGTGCAAATATTGCAGGATCATCTGCAAATATCGAGCCCCACAATCGAGTGGGCAGATCGATTGGCGAAACGTGGCGACCGCGACGTTGTAACGATCACACCTGAGAATTGACAGATCTCCTGCGATTAGTGATCAATCGCATTCACACTCTGTACAGAAAAATTGGCCAACAAGCGTCTTTGTAGTGAATATACAATTCATTACTGTAGAGGCTGCTCCTAGCGAGGACAGCCCGAGCACTTCGCGTCAGTGTGGCTCGGCCTACACTTTCGCACCGAACCAATTCCGAGTCGCCCATCACCAATCACGACATTTCCAAGCCACGCACATCACGAGGTTCTCGCCTAGCTAGTTTCCGCCCTATAATTGCTCGCTTTTTTCATTGTTTCTGCTACGATCAGAAGTTGATCGTTCCCAGGATCTACTCGGGAAGGTTCGCACACAGAGAAATGAAGTTGGTGGGCCCTTGACCTCAATAGCAGAGTGGATGTAAAATGCTTGAGATGAATAAAACATGCAAATACAACAAATATAAATATGAGTACAGGGAAGACGAAACGACCTAGCTAGCCATGTACTCTAAGGGGTACATTCCCTTGTTCAAATTCATTCCCAACCGTGCGGCGCGTTCAGTTACGAAACTGTTCCCGCCAAAGCCATCCTGCCTGCAGCTGTCCGATGCCATCTGCTCCGACGGTCCAGATGCGCCTTAACCGTCTGACGCTTCGAGTCAACTTTGACTCTTCGTGTTCACTCTCGATACTGCATGCTTCCTTTTGCTGCGGTGAGGAGTGCACAGTAATAATCAAATATTACTATTCGTAACACCCCCCTTCACTCCTGGCCGTAGCTCGACTTGACCTGTTTGACCACGCCGCTGAGTTCGGAGCAGTGCTGGTACTGCTGGCGTGGCAGTCGTTGGCTTGGTAAGGAAATCTGCCGCCATGTCACCGGTTGGGCAATAAGTCAAGTTGACCTTGCCCTTGTCCGCCTCGTTCTTCACGAAGAAATACCGCAGCGCAATGTGCTTGGTGCGGTTAACGAAACCAGGTTTGTTCGCGATCCGAATCGCGCTCTGGTTGTCGCAGTGAAGACGAAAGGTGGGCGAAGCTGGGATTTTCGCCTCCAGCAGGAGTTCCTGTAAGTAGAGTCCTTCGCGAACTGCTGCGGTTGCTGCGATGAATTCCGCTTCGGCTGATGACAGGGCAACCAGCTCCTGTTTCTGCGAGTTCCATGAGATTGGTCCCGTTGGTTCGAGTCGGAACAAGAAGCTGGTCCTGGACCATCGATTGTCGGGATCTGCTGCGTGATCGGCATCCACGTAGCCGATGAGATTGGTGCAGTTGAATAGCACAACCCAATCTTGGGCGTTGAAACGAAGAATTGCAGTGCGCGCTGCAGGTCCAGAAGATTCTCAGCCGTTGGTTTGCGTGAGTACTGGGCCAGCTGACTTGCGATGTAGGAGAGATCTGGCCTGCAGGTGACAGAGGCGAAGAGCAGGCATCCCAGCTGCTGTTGGTAAGTCTGAATTCCAGCAGGGGATAGGGCTTTGTTGTCAGGTTTGTGGTTCGGTCCGGGGGTTCGGTAGGGAGTTGAGAGAGGTGCAGGTGAAATGTTGAACCTCTTCCCTAACTCCTCTGCGTACTTAGCCGCTGAGAGGTGAATGGCCTCAGGCGCGTAGGAGATGTTGAGGCCTAAGAACTGCTTCACCTCATAGTTGCATGTGATGTCGACGCGCCCCGCCAAGGCTTTCTCGAACTGCTCGAGTAGCTCATTGTTTGAGCCTGTGTAGAGCAAGTCGTCGACGTAAACCGTGAGAAGAATGTATTCGACCCGGAAATCGCGGCGGTACATCCCTGGATCGTGCGGCATCTGCTTGAATCCGATTTCAAGCAGGATGTTGTGTAGGTACTGCTGCCACAGCCTCGGCGCCTGCTTGATCCCGTAGAGTGACTTGCGCAGTTGGCACACGCGCGAGTCCCCTTCACCGTATGTATGCGGCTGCTCCACGTAAATCACGGCGTCTACTAGCGCGTATAAGAACGCGTTCTTGACGTCGATCTGGCGGAGAGGTAGGTGCCTTGCAGCTGCGATGGCGAGCAGGATTCGAACGGAGGTATGACGGCTGACTGGAGCAAACGTCTGGTCGAAGTCAATCCCGTGCCTCTGGTCATAGCCGCGCACCACCCAGCGCGCCTTGAAGCGCTCGATCGTTCCGTCCGCTGCGGTCTTCACGCGGAAGACCCACTTGCCCGAGAGGATTCTTGCGCCTTTGATTGCCGCACGGTCGACTAACACCCAGGTGTCTCGGGACTCGAGCGCTTTAATCTCTGCGTCCATTGCCTCGCGCCACTCCTTGCTGTGTGGTCCAGAGAGAGCTTCGCGCGGGTTTCGAGGCTCGATGACACGTGGCGCTTTCGAGGTTGCGGTGTGAAGCCCGAGTAGCTGCAGTCCTGAGACGGTGCTGTCGTGGCGCCATTGTGGGATGACTTCTTGCACATCGTCATCATCGCTTTCTGGTTGAGGTGGCGCTGGTGGTCCTGCGCTTCTGCCGCTTCCGCTTGTTCCGCCCATTCCTCCTGTTGAGGAATCGTCGTCGTCGTCGCTGCTGCGCCGATCCTCCCATGTGAACTCGCCTCATGTATCCTGCTCCAGTATTGCTGCAGCGGCTTCGTCTTCGGGCGTTGCGTAGCTGTGCCCGTCGTTCGCGTAAACGCGATTCGCGTTCGTTTCCTCGTCGTGACGGAATTGGTCGAGGAAGAGGCGCTCGTAGAAGATTACATCGCGAGCGTGGGCGGTTTTCTGACTGAGGAGGTCCAGCACGATCCACGCTTTGTACTCGTGGCTGATGCCGAGGTGGATTCCCCAGCGCGCGCGACTGGCGAATTTGCCGATGGTTGATGTCGGCGGGCGGTACTGCACCATGCACCCCCACACGCGGAGCATGGAGGTATCCCCCTTGGTTCCGGTCCATTTGACATGCGGGGAGAGGTTCCCGGTGATTGCGGTGGTTGAAAGCAGGTTGTGCACCCTAGCGGCGTGGTGCATCGCGTAGGTCCAGTAAATCGGCGGCAGCTTTGACTGCTTCATCAGCGCCCGCACCTTCGTCATCAGTGTGCGGTTCGTCCGCTCAGCTACGCCCTGCTGCTGATGTGCGTAGGGGAGAGAAATGTGATGCTCGATCCCCTTTTGCGCCAGGTAGCTCTGCATTTGATTGCTCCTAAACTCCGCTGCGCCGTCGGATTGCCAAATTTTCAGCTTCTTCCCGGATTGCCGCTGCGCATGCGCCAACCAGAGGCGGAACACCTCGTAAGCTCTGTCGCGGGTCTCCACATTTGCGACCCATACGTAGCGCGTTCCAGCGTCGATGAAGGTAAGTGTGTACAGCTCGTCGTCGACTCCGCAATGCCCCACGTTGAGAAAATCGCTGTACACTTTGTGCAGCTTGGGGTAGCGGTTCGTTCCTGGCTCGAGCAGCGGGAACGGCTGGTGGCTTAATGCAGCTTTGGAGCAGACGGTGCAGTTGCACGGATGTGTCGCGCCTCTCACTTTGGTGCCGTCGGGGCGGAGTAATGCTCCTGGGGCAAAGACTCCGGCGTCGATGCAGTTCTTAAGTGTGGCGCGTGAAGGGTGTTTGAGGCGCTGGTGCCAAAGTGCATCGTCGGCGCGAAAGCCGGAGGTGCGCATGTAGCGCGCGCGGGCTTCCTCAGGGTCTTCGTCAGGTACGGGAGCAGGTTCTGCTGCTGCTTCCTCTGCATCTTCTTCTTCTGCCGCGGTAGTCAGCATCAGCGCCAGAAACTCTCTGTCACGAATCTCAGAGAGTGGAATGTTGGTCCCGGGAATAATTCCGGGCACGAAAGTAGGTTTGTGCGGTTCGGGAGCAGGTTCGTAGACGGTGCGGCGTGGAGTTGATGGTTCGTTGCCCCAGCGGATAGTGTCCCAGGGATCGCGGTGCGGCGGAATGTCAGGGGGAGGTGACGCGAGTGGGATATGGCGCGGGGGACGCCCGAGGGGAACAACTGCAGATTCTCCCCCCTTTTATTCGTCGCGGGAAGTCTCCCAGCCTCCAGCAGAGGCGCCCCAGCCGCTCGTTTCGCCGCCAGATGCGGCGCCCCATCCGCCGGTTCCGGTTGCCCATGTTCCGCCGGTGTTGCCCCA